TATAAAATAAATTATAATACATAAAAATTTTTTTTTGAATATATTTTAGAAATTACCATAATAAAAAAATATGAAAAACTTTATAATATAAACAAAAAAAAATTTAAAGTAAAATTTTATATAATAATTAACTTGTTAATATTAAATATATACTGTATATAATTATAATGAGTTAGTTTTTAATTAACTTCATTATAATGTAATGTTATAGTATAAAGTTAATTAAGAACTATCTAATTATATTAAAGTTTTATCATCATTTAAAGAATGTTAATGACTGTATAATGAAGAATTATGTTAATTTTATTTAAATCCTTGTATAATTTGATATTAGTAAACAAGACTTTATAAAATGATTGATTTTTCTTAACTGATAACATTAATTAAGTTAATTCATAACGAATCATTCCATTAGAAAGTGGAGTAGATTCATTTATTCTTTCTTCTATATGACAATCACATATCATGTTTAATCGCAGGATAATTTAATTAGTTAAAAACAAGTAAAAAATGGAATCAAAATGGATACTTTATCCGCGGATAATTGTATTTGCAGTCGATGATCTAGAAATAATTAATTGCAAGCAACTCAAGGTTATCAGCCATCGACATATAATGAAATTTTGTTCTTCAACAGAAATCACTTTACTTTCACTTAAGTAATTCTACTTTTAAAATGTTCTTATCTCTACGTTTTTCAGTGGTTTTATTTTATTTTATTTTTCTAGATTTTTTGAATCGAGTCATTAATTAAATGGAGTATAAAAGTCATAATTCTAAGACACGTCAAATATGTTGTGATGTCTTTTTCCTTCATTTTTCTATCTTTTTTCCTGGAAAAATCGTTTGAAATTTTATTTATAAAGTAATTTAGATATCCAATTTAAAACTTTTTAACGATTTTTATATAAAAGATTAGTTTTTTTAACGTTCTAAAAGCTATAAAATGTAATATAAGTTAACGTAGATCGTGAACTACCGATTGGAAATAAATGATTTTATATTTTCAAGATCATTCTGTAGGAGACGTTTTTAAAGGACTCAGAATACAATTGAATGTGTGAATACATGTATGTAAAGAAAATTATTCGGTATGAAAATATTTTCGGATCATTTTCTGGAAGATTTATTACCTAAGATCGACGACATCTTTCCAACCTCTTATAATCTAGTCACGTTACCATGACGACCTTTTGGATGAAGTGATCAATGTTATAATATTTTTATAATAATTTCACAATTGTTAATAAAATAGTATTTTATTCATTTTTAAGAGATTTAATATTTTATTTTTAGTGTTATATGACATTTTTTTTTCTTTCTTTTTCCTGAACTTAAGTCGACATTTACTATAAGTAAACAAGAAAAAGAATGAAGATTATGATGTAACGTATCGTGTCGTGTGATCCATTTTAAGCATCTTTACAAAAGATATTACGAAATTTCTTTATAAAAAAATTGACATTTTGAAGTTTATTTTTTTCTTCACGTAAAGCAAAATGTTTCAAGAGGATTTTTACATGAGGATTATTTGAATTTCCATGTAAAAAGACCTAAACGAAAAATCAAATAATCCGCATCTAAAAGCATTACTTTTACTCCAAGATGAATTTTTATATGTTTTTCTTATGGCATTTTTTAAAATAAGAACATACCAAGCGATGGTTTTAACATAAAACTTAACTTTAAAATTATATATATATATTTTTTTTATAATAGGATATATCGATTCAGATATGTTAATATAAAAGTAAAAGAATTTACAGAGCACGTACTACACGTCATTCATAAAAATTTGCAAGTTGTTATATCAGTATAGGATGATGGAAAGAGCAAAATATTTGTAAAAATAACTTAAATTTTCCCCTTAAAAAAATAAATAAAATCAAAAAATTCTTCTATCAATCGCATCATTACTTTCATTGAAAGTACTGTATTAAAAATCTATATAATTTAAGGTTAATGTCCTAGTTTTTTTTGTTTTAAAAAAAGGTGATAAAATTACATTTGCTTTTTAAAAAATATAATTTAATTTTAAATGTAATAATCTAGCATCACAACCGTTTAAAATATAGGTCAGGTTTATAAGGGGAAGAATATAAGTATAGAGTGATGTAGAGCAGTAAATTAAATGATTTGTTCTCCTCTTAAATTCCAAAAGATCAGCTTCCGAAAATGCACATTTTAAATGTTTTTTTTTTCTTTTTAAAATTGAGGACAAGAGATTCTTTTATATTTAAAAACACGTAGAGTTTTCATGCTCTTTTCTCACATGTTGACTCATTGTCACCGTCCCTTCAATACGTCAGATATGTGTGCCATATGTGTACTTTAACATGTGGTTGTGATGTTTATTATAGATTGATTCATAAATATTTTAGAATCAGTTAAGTAATCACATGTTTAAAACATTATACACTAAAATTGTATAAGAAAATTCTATTGGTTAATGATAAACGAACGTGATTTATAATAAATTACAATTTAATCTAAAGCATTAAATATATTCCTTAACATAGTTACAATTTCTATTCTATTCATTTACTATTCTCTTGACTAATTNAGTATTATAGTAAAACCCATTAGTTTTAGACTTCAAAATAATAAAATAATCTTTCATTTATATATATTTGTAAACAATTTAATAAAAATTGACTTGTTTTTACATTGATATTGGCATATAATTTACCTAAATTTAGGGCATGTAAGGTGCTCTGTATGTTAGAAACGAACAGTTAATGATCTAGTTGTTGACAAAAAACAGCGAGTGTAATCTGCCTTATTAGATATATTAAAATAATTTATTAGTTAAGCTACACTTGACCCATATAAAAAGTAATTAATTTAGTTGTTTTCTCTGAGAAAATATAGTTAATTCGTGAAGAAAATTAATAGTTTTATAGAAAAATTTTTTGATTTCAAATTATGATTCATCACTTTAACTTGTCAGGATAAAAATTTTCTCATCTTAAATTGTCAAAGAGATAATGGCATTTCATTAACACACCTTAAAAATCATTTTTTGCAATTAATAATAAAATTAAATCTTACTCGGCGAAATTTTATAATTATTTAAATTGAAATGTTCGAAATGTGATTTTAGATTTTATAAATAAATCTTCAGGTTATTTATTACAAGAATATTAACTCTGATGATGTAACAAAGGGTACAAATTACATCTAACATGTACCATTGTCGCATAGTAATTGATAGATAAACAATAATAATAAAAAAGAAACATGAAAAATAATTAAAAAAACATATATTTTTTTGGAAAATATGTACCACAAAGTTAAAATTTTAAGTCAATTTGTCTGTCTGAATGTTTGTCCTAAGGTTTTTATACAAAAACTATAAGCTAGACAGTTAAAATTTCATATTCGATTCGTCTGTCTGAATGTCTGTACTATTTATTTCTTAGTTTTTTTCTCTTCCAAGATTTCTAGGAAATTGAAAGCGCTCTTGTAAATACGTTATTTTTCTGTTACATTCGTCTATTCCAAGGGTTTTTTTTTGAAAAATAAGAATTAATCTAGTACAATTGATAGTTGGAGATTAAGGGCATTCATCCCTATACCATCAAATTTTACTTACATAAAGCTTAAATTTCTGTACTTTAAAAGATTAAAAATACAAATAAAATTTTTTAGATTATTATTTATTAATTAAATAACTTGACTTACCCAACATCTTAATAACGGCTTGTCTAGATGAAGACGTCTGTCTGTTGATCCCATGCTTGGAAATGAGCCTTCTATCAACGTGTATTGAAGAACTAGCATTTCTTCTCCACCCATTAGTTTTAGGAGCAGAATCGGTGGGAACACAACGAGATAAATTTGAAGATTCGCGTAATTTCAATCCAATTAACACGTAAAGAGCCGAAATTATAGTCATTGGCAAAATAAAAAATAAAAAAGTGGAACTTTCGAAAGCGTGTTTTAAAGGATTTTTAACTGTACAAATAGTTGTATCTGTAATGACAACATCATTTAAAGTATCTACAACAATTCCAAATTGGATTACTAATGGAGTTGCAAACAGAGCTGCCATTATCCATATTACAATTATAAATTTTATGGCTCTAGAGAGTTTGGACATAGTTTGAGCACGAAGAGGATGACAAATTGCTAAATATCTTTCGACTGTAAAAGAAGTTATAGTTAAAATCGAAGCATTTGTAGAAGTTTCGGACGTTAGACCTCTAAAAATACAAAAAAATTCACCAAAAACGTAAGGATAACGTACCCAAAGTTGATACATTTCTTGAGGAAGTCCCATAATCAATAACAATAAATCGGATATTGCAAGATTGAAAAGATAGTAATTAGTTGCAGTGTGCATGTATTTGTTACGAGTAATTACTACACACGTGCACACATTTCCGATCATTCCCGTAATTAAAATAATTGCGTAAACAAATGTCATCGGTATGGCAATGTACAACGGTTCCATTTTTGGTCCTAGATCCAAGAAAGAAGATTCATTATTTTCCGTGTTGTTTTCGATCAAAAACAGTACAACAGTCGACAATTCTTCGACACGTGTTTCAATTCCGTGATTCATGATGAAAATTTCCGTCATTCCATATTAAAACACATCCTTATTTAGTTAGGAACCGTTCCAAAATATCTTTAACAATCGACTTATATATATGCTAGAAGACGAACACAGAGTATGACAGAGCGGAAAATATCGTTACGTGGACAGTGTTGCCGCTTATTTGGTATTAACTGCCGTGTGCAACTTGCCAGCCCTTTAACCCCGTCTCTAGTCATACGTCACATGCGGGCACGTGACATGCGCCAACCATTGACAGACACCGGTGGCTGACACACGAGAGTTAACTGATCTGTTGGATGAAAGGGCAATTGATTCACTTCCGAAAAAATCGTTCCGACGGGACATTATATATTTCTATATAACACAAAAGGACCGAGTGACTTTATTACACAGAGTCACAATAACATAGGGCCGATGACACAGTTCAGATTGCTTTTTTGACATTGAATGTCGTTCTGTAAATACCTGAACGTCCAACGACCCCTTTGGGGGTACTTAACAACAATGATTGCCATTAACACTACTTTCATTAACTATCGATAATCTGACAAAGATTGATTTAATGCAAGCACAATTAAGAATAAATTAAAATTTATAATACATTATTTCTTACTGTCACCTTTCCATTTAAATAATATTTATTAATAAAAAAAAATAAATAATCGTTCTAGATAACCGAATATCAACACAGGTAATTTATATAAATAAATAGATTTTAAAATGTTTTTTTTTAATTATTAATTTTAAAAATTACGGTAATTTCTACGGTTGATAAACAAAGAAATTTAAAAAATGTTTATATATATTTTTAAAAATATAATTTAATTTCACTTAATAAATATATTTTTTAATTTATCGTAAATATAAATATTAAATAGAGTTTGATAGATTGCATAAAGTTTGCATAGACTTATATAATATTTAATAATATTGTATGATCACACATAAGATCGTATAATCTGCATAAACAAGTATTCTTTTTGAAAAGATTCTCATAATCTCTATCCAAACATACAAAATCACGTATAATATTTGCATTACTTGCGAAGACTTTAATAAGAATGTATAACCTTTACATAAACTTGCATATACCTCCATAAAACTAGCATAACCTTTACATAAACTTGCATATACCTCCATAAAACTAGCATAATCTTAACACGAATTTGTACAAACTTTAATAAATGTGCATATTCATTATGTAAGCTTGCATACACTTTAATAAATTCGAAAACCCTAAAAATTTCAGTGCTACTGCATAGGCTACACATAACTTTTTTTTTTCATCCAGTAACACAATACTACACATCCACGCGAGTTTACACCCGAAATACTTTACTTAAAAACTGGACCATAGTGTAACGATGTATGGCATATTCTGTACAAACTAACAGAACAATCGTTGATATCTTTCTAATGTAAAAAGTTGTTTTATCGTCCTTCTTGGATCAGTATCCTCTTCTTACATCTCTCTTGTATTTTATTTTATTTTTTTTTATATTTTTTTTTGTCCCTTTTGTTGCAGACTTCGGCTCGATAAAACCTTATCGGATCTTGCTTTATTTCACTGATACCACTTATAACTTTTACTGCGGTTTCCTTTGTTATCTTCCTCTGATTATCCCTTCGTTACACTGATGTGAATAATAACATCGTTCTTGTAAACTATTATCTAAGATCAGAAAATTTCTACCAGAAAAAGATAAAAAATAAAATAAAAATCTGTGTATTTTAATTAAATGAAATGCTTTTAAAAAATGCCAACATAATAATAATTAATATTTTTAAATTGGTATTTCATTAATGGCATTTTAGTTATTTATAGAAGCTCATAAATAAGTAAAATGCCACCCCACTATGGATGTTTTTTTTTTCTTTCTTTAAATTTAATTAATGTTACATAGCTTTTAATGCATTTAATATATGAAGAAATACTTTTAATATATTTAAAAATCTAAAAATATTATAATCAGTAATATAATTTTACTTAATTATATTACTTAGAAAATTTTTTAAAATAATTTATATAAAATTTCCTATACTTTATATATAATATATATCATATAAAAAAATGTTATATAATGCTGTAAAGAAAAATTTATTATATTTAAACTTTAATACATGAAGTTTCATATTTGAAATAAATAGAAAAGGTTTTTAAA